TACAAGACGCAAGGTCTTGTAGTTTCCATGTGTAGTTTCCAAGGTCTTTTGATTTCCTGTAGGGAGCTAGAGTGAACGTAGCTGCAGGGAGGATATTCCTATACAATCCATTTGAATTTTTCCAGCAGGGTCTTCGTGATATACGCTAAATGAGGTGTGGCACTGTCATACAAAAGCTTTTTCACCGTACACTTTTCTCAACTGGCATTAAATTTCAGTGGGGATACATCGTTTTTGCTCATAAGAAACGAGTTTCTGCACGAACTTCCAATTTGGACGCTACATTTTTAATGACTGAAAACTGGTTAACTTCTCAGCCACGTGAACAAATCTACTATGCCTTATAGTCGGATGTATTACCAATGTTGCCAACAGATTTCATCTAAATATCATTTATCAACTAAAAGTTCTTGTTAATTGGAACTTACTTTCGACTCTGCTTCGTATCTAGATTAGTGACCAGATTCGGAAATGTAAAAAGCGGGACGTTAGACCGGGCGTTTCGACGTGACATGATGAATGATGACCATCGTCGGTTTTATAGCTTTCTTACATCGATGACAGATGTTATGAACAACTAATGTACGTTTTATTTATTCATATACTGTCTTCTTGTTTACAGAATAACGACCTACAGCAACCGCGATAACAATTCATACAATTTTGACTATTTTTGAATATAATCATAAAACTGTCTAAAAGCAAGACATATTTCAAATACTTCAAAAATTGGGGCATTTTTCGGGATTGTCCCGCCTGATCCTGGACGTCTGGCCATTTTAAACTAGTTTTATTTGTGACAGCCGGATGGCCGAGCAGTTTAGGTAGCAGCTTACCGTTATGAGGGACGAGTCAAGAAACCTCAAGTATTTTTGGGGGGTGGTCCGTCCGGATATGTCAGGTCCCGTCCCTCACCATCCGGCTGCCCCATTGTGGGCCTGGCCGAATCCATTACAGACTTGCTAGAAAAATCCTCATAATGACCACAGAATAGCGATTGTTTAAAAAAAAAGATTTTCCTATTTAAAAAGTTTATTTATAAATGATCGCGTATTCAAAGCCTGAATTTAACTAACGCTTTACATATCATTCCAGTTTTACGTATATTTAATTATTTAAATTTCTTTCCTTTGATGCTCTTTCATATTCTAATTTTTGAATTCTATCAGTAGAATTCTACAGGTACGATACTCGTCTATTTCTACGTTTAATCTTTCCGCTTTTAGGTTAATAAGAGCGCTTTTTAATCGTGCCCATCACGGATTTGGCCAAACCCACAATGAGGGAAGCCGAATGATAAAAGAGCCAATATATCCATCAGCCCATTATGAAAATTTCTAGGTCTATTCAGGAGTCTGGTCGCTCTAGAAGGTCTTATTACTTCAAGACAAATTCGAATTTTATTGGGATCTTTACGATTTTTCATAGAAAAGTATAGTCAAGGAAATTTTCCAGTTTCATTTTATTTCCAGTACGAATGGAATCTCTATACAATAGACAAAATCGAAGATGGATATAATATTCTGTTCTTCGTATAACACTCTGATTAATTAATAGTTCCAATTTTTTTAAAATCGAAACATTATTAAAAACATTGTAAACCAAAATTTCTTTAGCAGTCTGTTTAATTAAAGATGTTTACCTTGAGACGAAAATCCAAGGTTACGTTTTGGTTGTGTAATATGTTATTCTTAAATTAACACTCGTGAATAGAATGTAAATGAACAGATTGACTAATAAGTTTTTATTCGATTTGTATCTACTGTCGTAAAAAATATTATTTTTAGTCATTGTCCAGTTCGGCTTTTATTCAACGAATTTTCGAGGAAGATGGAGTTGAATGGATGTCTCACTGGGAGCAGGGCAAAGTGAATACAGTATTCCTTCGTTTCGAAGATATTTCCATCGTTCGAACAATTTATGAATTTTTAGAATATGTATGATTCTAACTGTTGATCAATTATAGAAAAATAAATTAAGCAAACGAAATAGATGGTACAGTACAGTACAGTACATCATTTCTCAAGTTTGACATTGTTTTAACAGGAAATTCATATGATATCTGCTTCTAACAAACTCATAAATTCCCTGTGTTTAGGTTTATGTTTTTTCATACATATTCTGAATTCACAGACAAATTACTTTGGGGCGTGGAGATACAACGAACCTTTTTGCCTTTCAGTGGTCCATTTAACCATTATTATTATTTTTTTGAACAAATTTCTTTATTAATAAGAAGCAGTCTTGAAGATTTTATTTTCTATTAATAAAAATAATAAATTTTATAGGAGTAGGAAACACTGTGTGCTTAGAGAAAAATCCCTGGTTCCCTCCTTGATGACTCTGATATTGTATATTATGTAAGAGATTAAATGTTAATGATAAAAATAGTTTTTATTCCTTTTAAGGTGTTTTATATTATAATTTGTATTGTGATTTTATGCAGAAATATACTTTGGTTGTCAGTTGTTGGGTTCAAAATAGAGTTGATATTTCTTATTCAAAAATATATTTAATATTAAATAAACAGATTTTTGTTATGAAGTTGGCTTCTTGGTTTTAAATAAATCAATGCAAGCCTATCTCTAATAATGGGTAATACTGGAGAATTGCTAATATTTTTAATTTGATTAATGGACCTTATTGAGATATGAAGATAGTCTATTCTGAATAACAGAATAAATTCATGCCTATTTTGCAGATGAAGTTGAAGCTGAAGTTATTACAGTGGCTAGTCAACTTTATCAATACTTAGATTAACTTCATAATAATTCCACTATATACACATAGTATAAACTTTTGATACTAAAATGTTAATATTAAAGTGTTTTTATTTAAATTATTAAATACATTCAGTAAGAATAATGTACAGTTTTTATTGTTAATTCATTATTTAATCTGGTTAATTTTATTAATAATGTTTTTATATTATTTCTTTCAGTCTGCATTTAACTTGAAGATTTTCAAAATGATAGGTTGGTTTGCTTATTTTCATAATTAAATTATTATAAAATAAAATTGGTAGAAGTTACTTTCCAGCCATTTATAGTATAAATGGCTGAATATAAACTTTACATACAATATATACTGTATAAAATATATATACGGTACAAATTACAGTACCCAAAAGTAACTTCTACTAAGGTGTTTACTATAAAATTTCTGTTCTATTGAAAAATTGTTATAAAGTTTTATAACATTGAAAATTTTTGAATTGAATAATAAATAAATATTAATTTCCAAAATATAAATTTTATATTTGATAGATTTTTATTTTTTAAATTAGATTTAACTGAAAATAAAGGCAATAAACAAGAAAATCAATATCTTAAATCGGAGAGCCAAATATATGATTCAGACGAACAACCTGACTTTTCACATAGGATTATTGAAAATATAATTAAAAAGATAAAAAATTACAAAAAATTAAGTTATAAAGGTAATTATGTAATGTATAAATTTTTAAAATAATTAGCATAAGTGCATTAAATTGAACGTCATTATTTTTAGTTATAGTGTACTGTAATAAATTTTATTAGAAAGATTCAATAAATATTATTAGAGATTAATAAATTTTTGTTGAATAATATCAAGTAAATTTAGAATAATTTTAAAACAGACAAACAATTTAAATCTATGTTTTTATTATTTGCAGTTTAACATTTAGCACATTTCAATAAAGTATTATGTGTAAAAAATTCATTTTATAATATTAATATTTTAATGCAAGCTATAAAAATGACAGGAGAGGAAATAAAACCTGTTAGTCATTCAGTAAAATTTTATTACAAAACTTAATGGTGAACAAAAAACAGATGAAAAATTGATTTTTACTTTTAAAACTAGGGAGACTTTATTAAACTATAAAATTTATTTTATTATATTTTTCAAGAAGAATGTGTCCCTGTAATTTGCCTTGTTGTTCTGAATCCAAAATATAAACTTTTAAAGTTATTGCTATTGCTAGCAATGCAATTCTAATTATTGGTTTTATTTGAATATCAAATAGTAGACACTATTTGAAAGCATTTGAGGATTTCTAAAAACTTAGGGAAACAATGTAAAATTAATAAATGCCATAAATTACAGTAGCTAGGTACCATATTTCCTTAACAAATGAACTTGTGAAATGTATAAAATGCACATTATACAGTAGATGTATTTTTTAATTGCTTACTTATTACTAGTATATAGAATAATATTCATTATAAAGAAAGATACTAGTTGCCATTTCAAGTATAATTTACTTTAATTAAAAATGAATCTTTCATAAATAAGTATTTAATAATGGGCATCAAATAGTTAAATGCAAATGAAATAATAGCTTCATCAAATAGTAATTACAGAGAAAATAAACAGTTTAAAATAGTAGCTGTTATTTATGAAATAGTGGCTATAATTTGAATAAAAACAATATACAGTGGTGTCTCATATAACGTACTTAATCTGTTCCAGGTGCACATCTGTTAAGTGAAAAGTCCGTTATATAAAATGCATTTTCCCATAGAAGTACATGTTAAAACATATAATTTGTTCCGTAGCCTAAAATAACCATACTGTACCATAAAAAAAAATGAAAATGGAGCAGTCACCAATTATGCCAGGTAGTCAGATGTTGTGAAGAGGAGGTGGAGGAACACTTTCTTCACACATTCATACAGATACAGACTTTTTATACATTGCAGCGGGTCTTTTTTTTTTTTTTTTTGTTTTTTTTAAATGGAGTCAGATTCAGGAGAGGCTGCTGGAGCTTGCAGGGTCAACTCCTCATGTTCCATCCTTTGTTTTTTGCCTGCTGGCTTCGTGAAAAACATGTCCAAGGTGGTCTGTTTCTCTCTCTTCTTCAACACCTGTCGGAAATGATGGGCAAGGGTGTCATTGTAGAGATCATTGATCCTGTTGGCCTCAGCTCTGTTTGGATAATGAGTGTTGGTAAACTTCTGAACCTCTCCCCATTTGACAAGGAACTTTTTGTCAACTTTCACTCCTTCTGATGATTTCTTGCTTTGTTTCAATTGAAATCACCTTTCTGTTTTTTAGAAGCCATGATTTGCACAACACTTGAATAAATGTAAATACCCTGCACTGAGGTGATGTACGTAATAAACAAGGGAGCAAGCTGAACCCCAACAGGAGCTCTGTACTTCAGATATACTAATAATATATTATAAAAATAGCAGATTGTCATTGGCAATGGTAAAAGAGTGAAAACATCATTTGCACTTGTTTGCAGAAAGTTTGTTGTTTGCCTCATGTAATGGCCAAACAGAAAGTCCGTTGTTCGCAGCGTTCGTTATTTGAGGCATACATTATATGAGCACCACTGTATACATCAATTTTGTTGATCTTCAAATTTGGGTATGCATCATCCAGCAAAATGGATGTAGGGAAAATGTTGTCTACCACATGTTAAATGGCATTATTAAGTGAATTTTGTCAATCCATATTTAAGATATAATTTTCATGCTAATTTTTGAGGTTTGATACATTTAAATTCTGGTAAATCAATTACTGGTATTTCTAATGTAGTGGTTCAGCTTAAAGTTAGCTAAAACACACTATAAAATAAATATGATGTGATAAGATTTATCAAATGATGATAAAAATAATTTTTGCTACCATTAATTTTTTGTAAAGAAAAAATTTGTTAAAAATATTACTAAATGACAGTGACAGGAACTAAAATGGCATAATAGATGGCTCTAAAAGAGTTTGAATTTGAATGTAATTGCCATAGAAATATTCTAATAAAAAGTTGTTTTGCATAGAGCTGATAATATATAGACATAGGATATTATATTATTAGATTCTTAATAAAAATATTTCATTATTTTTGAATTGATTTATTTATTTACTTAGTTTTTTGTCATATGACCAAATGATTTAGACTCTAGCAACATTGTTTAAATTGTTAATTATAACTGTTGAGATTTGACAATTATAATCTAAAAAGAATGAGTAAGAATTTCAAATATTTAGAAGAAAATATATGTTTTTTTTAAGACATTTAATATTATCAGATGTTATACATATAATATATATACACACACATAAATGTTTGGTTTATAAATTAGACAGTTATTTCTATTATATAATTATACATAATTATCTGATGGTTTTCAGCAATAATCTTCTTGAGAGTTCTTGAGTGCTGCCAGGGACACTGGAACTAATTCTGAGATGACTGAGCCATGCGGGAGAGGAATGAACTTAGGCCTGCTGTAACACCCAGCAAATGTTGGAAGAAATAGGTTCCCTGTATAGTTGTAGAAGGGAATTGGTGACATCTCATTGTGTTGTTTGTGAGCCACTAGACGAAGGACCCACTGGAATTTCTTGCTCAGCTTAGCCTTTATTGCTCCTGCAAAGCCCAAGGCAACAGTGTATAGTTTTCCAAGATGGTCATAGAAAGACACCAAGTCACAGAATTTGGAGAAGTGTAGATGGGTAGTCTCGTACAACTTAAGTTCAACTTCCACTCTGGTAGNATCAAAAACGTAAAATATTTGAGTAGCCGAAGACATAGCCAAAGATTACAGCGCCACAGCACTGGCGAAAATTTAAATTTGTCGACTGGAATTCATTCGGATAAACGACGCTCTACTGTATATATATACATACACACTAAATAAGGAAAGTTTCATTTTATTTTTCAAGTTGTATTTTATGGCGGCGCAGAAATATAACTTTGAACAAAGGCTCGTATTGTCGGCTTGATTTGAATAAAATGAAAATATATAGTCTATCAAATATTTTAATAAATTTTTCACCTATTTCAACATACTACTAGACTCTCATAATTGGCTTAGATTTTGAATTTATTCGCGATCAGCACTAGTAGCGCGCGACCAAATATCTCTGGCACGCAGGCGGCTAACAGTCCAAAACCGGGCCTGGGGAGGCCGGATGGCCGAGCGGGTAAGGTGGCAGCCTACCGCTCTGGGGGACCCGGGTTCGAATCAAGACTGGTCGAAAAATCCCCAGGAATATTTCGGATATGTCGGGGCCCCGTTTCTCACCACCCGGCCGCCCCACTGTGGGCCTGGCCGAATCCATAATGGGCCTGCTAAAGAGAGGCCCTCTTAGTGCCTACAGGGCGGAAAGAGTTTAAAAAATACCGGGCCTGGTTTCTCTCGTACCAAAAATAAAAAGTATGAAACATACGGGCCAAAAAATTTTTATGTGAACGTACTGTACAATCCAAGCGCTACTTTTTGACACAATCACTAAGTTTATTTAGTCATTTATTGTATTGTAGCACGAGTTTTTCTATTCTTTGTTGGAAGTGTTCCCGTCCAACATGAGGTAGCCATTACCGTGTCACATTTGGGATGTCTTCGTCGGAGTCGTATCGGCGATTCGGAATATCATTTTAATGGGACCAAACACATGGAAACTACACAAGACGCAAGGTCTTGTAGTTTCCATGTGTAGTTTCCAAGGTCTTTTGATTTCCTGTAGGGAGCTAGAGTGAACGTAGCTGCAGGGAGGATATTCCTATACAATCCATTTGAATTTTTCCAGCAGGGTCTTCGTGATATACGCTAAATGAGGTGTGGCACTGTCATACAAAAGCTTTTTCACCGTACACTTTTCTCAACTGGCATTAAATTTCAGTGGGGATACATCGTTTTTGCTCATAAGAAACGAGTTTCTGCACGAACTTCCAATTTGGACGCTACATTTTTAATGACTGAAAACTGGTTAACTTCTCAGCCACGTGAACAAATCTACTATGCCTTATAGTCGGATGTATTACCAATGTTGCCAACAGATTTCATCTAAATATCATTTATCAACTAAAAGTTCTTGTTAATTGGAACTTACTTTCGACTCTGCTTCGTATCTAGATTAGTGACCAGATTCGGAAATGTAAAAAGCGGGACGTTAGACCGGGCGTTTCGACGTGACATGATGAATGATGACCATCGTCGGTTTTATAGCTTTCTTACATCGATGACAGATGTTATGAACAACTAATGTACGTTTTATTTATTCATATACTGTCTTCTTGTTTACAGAATAACGACCTACAGCAACCGCGATAACAATTCATACAATTTTGACTATTTTTGAATATAATCATAAAACTGTCTAAAAGCAAGACATATTTCAAATACTTCAAAAATTGGGGCATTTTTCGGGATTGTCCCGCCTGATCCTGGACGTCTGGCCATTTTAAACTAGTTTTATTTGTGACAGCCGGATGGCCGAGCAGTTTAGGTAGCAGCTTACCGTTATGAGGGACGAGTCAAGAAACCTCAAGTATTTTTGGGGGGTGGTCCGTCCGGATATGTCAGGTCCCGTCCCTCACCATCCGGCTGCCCCATTGTGGGCCTGGCCGAATCCATTACAGACTTGCTAGAAAAATCCTCATAATGACCACAGAATAGCGATTGTTTAAAAAAAAAAGATTTTCCTATTTAAAAAGTTTATTTATAAATGATCGCGTATTCAAAGCCTGAATTTAACTAACGCTTTACATATCATTCCAGTTTTACGTATATTTAATTATTTAAATTTCTTTCCTTTGATGCTCTTTCATATTCTAATTTTTGAATTCTATCAGTAGAATTCTACAGGTACGATACTCGTCTATTTCTACGTTTAATCTTTCCGCTTTTAGGTTAATAAGAGCGCTTTTTAATCGTGCCCATCACGGATTTGGCCAAACCCACAATGAGGGAAGCCGAATGATAAAAGAGCCAATATATCCATCAGCCCATTATGAAAATTTCTAGGTCTATTCAGGAGTCTGGTCGCTCTAGAAGGTCTTATTACTTCAAGACAAATTCGAATTTTATTGGGATCTTTACGATTTTTCATAGAAAAGTATAGTCAAGGAAATTTTCCAGTTTCATTTTATTTCCAGTACGAATGGAATCTCTATACAATAGACAAAATCGAAGATGGATATAATATTCTGTTCTTCGTATAACACTCTGATTAATTAATAGTTCCAATTTTTTTAAAATCGAAACATTATTAAAAACATTGTAAACCAAAATTTCTTTAGCAGTCTGTTTAATTAAAGATGTTTACCTTGAGACGAAAATCCAAGGTTACGTTTTGGTTGTGTAATATGTTATTCTTAAATTAACACTCGTGAATAGAATGTAAATGAACAGATTGACTAATAAGTTTTTATTCGATTTGTATCTACTGTCGTAAAAAATATTATTTTTAGTCATTGTCCAGTTCGGCTTTTATTCAACGAATTTTCGAGGAAGATGGAGTTGAATGGATGTCTCACTGGGAGCAGGGCAAAGTGAATACAGTATTCCTTCGTTTCGAAGATATTTCCATCGTTCGAACAATTTATGAATTTTTAGAATATGTATGATTCTAACTGTTGATCAATTATAGAAAAATAAATTAAGCAAACGAAATAGATGGTACAGTACAGTACAGTACATCATTTCTCAAGTTTGACATTGTTTTAACAGGAAATTCATATGATATCTGCTTCTAACAAACTCATAAATTCCCTGTGTTTAGGTTTATGTTTTTTCATACATATTCTGAATTCACAGACAAATTACTTTGGGGCGTGGAGATACAACGAACCTTTTTGCCTTTCAGTGGTCCATTTAACCATTATTATTATTTTTTTGAACAAATTTCTTTATTAATAAGAAGCAGTCTTGAAGATTTTATTTTCTATTAATAAAAATAATAAATTTTATAGGAGTAGGAAACACTGTGTGCTTAGAGAAAAATCCCTGGTTCCCTCCTTGATGACTCTGATATTGTATATTATGTAAGAGATTAAATGTTAATGATAAAAATAGTTTTTATTCCTTTTAAGGTGTTTTATATTATAATTTGTATTGTGATTTTATGCAGAAATATACTTTGGTTGTCAGTTGTTGGGTTCAAAATAGAGTTGATATTTCTTATTCAAAAATATATTTAATATTAAATAAACAGATTTTTGTTATGAAGTTGGCTTCTTGGTTTTAAATAAATCAATACAAGCCTATCTCTAATAATGGGTAATACTGGAGAATTGCTAATATTTTTAATTTGATTAATGGACCTTATTGAGATATGAAGATAGTCTATTCTGAATAACAGAATAAATTCATGCCTATTTTGCAGATGAAGTTGAAGCTGAAGTTATTACAGTGGCTAGTCAACTTTATCAATACTTAGATTAACTTCATAATAATTCCACTATATACACATAGTATAAACTTTTGATACTAAAATGTTAATATTAAAGTGTTTTTATTTAAATTATTAAATACATTCAGTAAGAATAATGTACAGTTTTTATTGTTAATTCATTATTTAATCTGGTTAATTTTATTAATAATGTTTTTATATTATTTCTTTCAGTCTGCATTTAACTTGAAGATTTTCAAAATGATAGGTTGGTTTGCTTATTTTCATAATTAAATTATTATAAAATAAAATTGGTAGAAGTTACTTTCCAGCCATTTATAGTATAAATGGCTGAATATAAACTTTACATACAATATATACTGTATAAAATATATATACGGTACAAATTACAGTACCCAAAAGTAACTTCTACTAAGGTGTTTACTATAAAATTTCTGTTCTATTGAAAAATTGTTATAAAGTTTTATAACATTGAAAATTTTTGAATTGAATAATAAATAAATATTAATTTCCAAAATATAAATTTTATATTTGATAGATTTTTATTTTTTAAATTAGATTTAACTGAAAATAAAGGCAATAAACAAGAAAATCAATATCTTAAATCGGAGAGCCAAATATATGATTCAGACGAACAACCTGACTTTTCACATAGGATTATTGAAAATATAATTAAAAAGATAAAAAATTACAAAAAATTAAGTTATAAAGGTAATTATGTAATGTATAAATTTTTAAAATAATTAGCATAAGTGCATTAAATTGAACGTCATTATTTTTAGTTATAGTGTACTGTAATAAATTTTATTAGAAAGATTCAATAAATATTATTAGAGATTAATAAATTTTTGTTGAATAATATCAAGTAAATTTAGAATAATTTTAAAACAGACAAACAATTTAAATCTATGTTTTTATTATTTGCAGTTTAACATTTAGCACATTTCAATAAAGTATTATGTGTAAAAAATTCATTTTATAATATTAATATTTTAATGCAAGCTATAAAAATGACAGGAGAGGAAATAAAACCTGTTAGTCATTCAGTAAAATTTTATTACAAAACTTAATGGTGAACAAAAAACAGATGAAAAATTGATTTTTACTTTTAAAACTAGGGAGACTTTATTAAACTATAAAATTTATTTTATTATATTTTTCAAGAAGAATGTGTCCCTGTAATTTGCCTTGTTGTTCTGAATCCAAAATATAAACTTTTAAAGTTATTGCTATTGCTAGCAATGCAATTCTAATTATTGGTTTTATTTGAATATCAAATAGTAGACACTATTTGAAAGCATTTGAGGATTTCTAAAAACTTAGGGAAACAATGTAAAATTAATAAATGCCATAAATTACAGTAGCTAGGTACCATATTTCCTTAACAAATGAACTTGTGAAATGTATAAAATGCACATTATACAGTAGATGTATTTTTTAATTGCTTACTTATTACTAGTATATAGAATAATATTCATTATAAAGAAAGATACTAGTTGCCATTTCAAGTATAATTTACTTTAATTAAAAATGAATCTTTCATAAATAAGTATTTAATAATGGGCATCAAATAGTTAAATGCAAATGAAATAATAGCTTCATCAAATAGTAATTACAGAGAAAATAAACAGTTTAAAATAGTAGCTGTTATTTATGAAATAGTGGCTATAATTTGAATAAAAACAATATACAGTGGTGTCTCATATAACGTACTTAATCTGTTCCAGGTGCACATCTGTTAAGTGAAAAGTCCGTTATATAAAATGCATTTTCCCATAGAAGTACATGTTAAAACATATAATTTGTTCCGTAGCCTAAAATAACCATACTGTACCATAAAAAAAAATGAAAATGGAGCAGTCACCAATTATGCCAGGTAGTCAGATGTTGTGAAGAGGAGGTGGAGGAACACTTTCTTCACACATTCATACAGATACAGACTTTTTATACATTGCAGCGGGTCTTTTTTTTTTTATTGTTTTTTAATTGGATTCAGATTCAGGAGAGGCTACCGGAGCTTGCAGGGTCAACTCCTCTTGTTCCATCCTTTGTTTTTTGCCTGCTGGCTTCGTGAAAAACATGTCCAAGGTGGTCTGTTTCTCTCTCTTCTTCAACACCTGTCGGAAATGATGGGCAAGGGTGTCATTGTAGAGATCATTGATCCTGTTGGCCTCAGCTCTGTTTGGATAATGAGTGTTGGTAAACTTCTGAACCTCTCCCCATTTGACAAGGAACTTTTTGTCAACTTTCACTCCTTCTGATGATTTCTTGCTTTGTTTCAATTGAAATCACCTTTCTGTTTTTTTAGAAGCCATGATTTGCACAACACTTGAATAAATGTAAATACCCTGCACTGAGGTGATGTACGTAATAAACAAGGGAGCAAGCTGAACCCCAACAGGAGCTCTGTACTTCAGATATACTAATAATATATTATAAAAATAGCAGATTGTCATTGGCAATGGTAAAAGAGTGAAAACATCATTTGCACTTGTTTGCAGAAAGTTTGTTGTTTGCCTCATGTAATGGCCAAACAGAAAGTCCGTTGTTCGCAGCGTTCGTTATTTGAGGCATACATTATATGAGCACCACTGTATACATCAATTTTGTTGATCTTCAAATTTGGGTATGCATCATCCAGCAAAATGGATGTAGGGAAAATGTTGTCTACCACATGTTAAATGGCATTATTAAGTGAATTTTGTCAATCCATATTTAAGATATAATTTTCATGCTAATTTTTGAGGTTTGATACATTTAAATTCTGGTAAATCAATTACTGGTATTTCTAATGTAGTGGTTCAGCTTAAAGTTAGCTAAAACACACTATAAAATAAATATGATGTGATAAGATTTATCAAATGATGATAAAAATAATTTTTGCTACCATTAATTTTTTGTAAAGAAAAAATTTGTTAAAAATATTACTAAATGACAGTGACAGGAACTAAAATGGCATAATAGATGGCTCTAAAAGAGTTTGAATTTGAATGTAATTGCCATAGAAATATTCTAATAAAAAGTTGTTTTGCATAGAGCTGATAATATATAGACATAGGATATTATATTATTAGATTCTTAATAAAAATATTTCATTATTTTTGAATTGATTTATTTATTTACTTAGTTTTTTGTCATATGACCAAATGATTTAGACTCTAGCAACATTGTTTAAATTGTTAATTATAACTGTTGAGATTTGACAATTATAATCTAAAAAGAATGAGTAAGAATTTCAAATATTTAGAAGAAAATATATGTTTTTTTTAAGACATTTAATATTATCAGATGTTATACATATAATATATATACACACACATAAATGTTTGGTTTATAAATTAGACAGTTATTTCTATTATATAATTATACATAATTATCTGATGGTTTTCAGCAATAATCTTCTTGAGAGTTCTTGAGTGCTGCCAGGGACACTGGAACTAATTCTGAGATGACTGAGCCATGCGGGAGAGGAATGAACTTAGGCCTGCTGTAACACCCAGCAAATGTTGGAAGAAATAGGTTCCCTGTATAGTTGTAGAAGGGAATTGGTGACATCTCATTGTGTTGTTTGTGAGCCACTAGACGAAGGACCCACTGGAATTTCTTGCTCAGCTTAGCCTTTATTGCTCCTGCAAAGCCCAAGGCAACAGTGTATAGTTTTCCAAGATGGTCATAGAAAGACACCAAGTCACAGAATTTGGAGAAGTGTAGATGGGTAGTCTCGTACAACTTAAGTTCAACTTCCACTCTGGTAGACATTTGCATTTGTTTCTGTTTAGTTTTGCAAGGAGGGATTTTCACAAGCCAGGTAGCACACAATGTAGACATGAAGGAAATGCATTGTAATTGAGGGTAATACACCTAGGTATCACATTATGTCCTCTGCACTTCAAAAGAAAAAGCATCTGGGCATGTAATTTATGCCATAATTTTTTCAGCTTCAACATGGAATAGAACATCCATTTTCTAGTATTCATCTTGTAAAGTAATGTAAAAATATAGCTTGGATGTCATGCCAACAAATGTACATAAGAGAGAGAAATAAATTGACACAAACTGGTGTTAAAGAGCTTTTAATTCTTTGCAAGTGCTTTTGACATTCCTATAAACGTTGTGTTCAGGCAATGACACAAGTTGAATGCTTTTTCAGAACGAATTTTAAAGTATAGAAACACAACAGTGTTAACCGAATGGAATACAAAACATAAAATTTAAAACACTTAAAACTTAAAATTAAAACATTTTTTGAAAATCACACAGTGCCAACACACATGTGCCTAGAGATGTGGAGACAAATACATAGAAAGGTGCAGGGAAGGTGGAGATAAACAGTTAGTTAGTATTATTTATTTGCTTGTACAAATTGACCCAAATGTCAGGCAACTCGAGGGTGGGAGTTGCAGGGGGACAACAGTGTGGTGAAGAGTGACTTCCAAATAAGCACTAGGCTCCTTTCACTGCAATTCCTAAGTAATTCAGAGCAGCCCCAAAGCAAGGTATGGTGACCATCTTGGATAATTCTGTGTCACACCTTCCCACCATCACAGAATGTTTGTGCTCAGCTAATCGACAAGACAGCATTCTGGTGGTAGCTCCTATGTAGCAGGTGTGTATCCCAGTTCATTCCTCCAATTCAGAGATGCATAACTTAGGCATCTGTGAATTAATCATAAACAATAATCATAAACTACAATAAAATTCCAATTATCTGAGTCTCAAGTAATTTAGATTCCACATTATCTGTAAGTGAATACACCACTTTTCATATATTGTAATTCATAAAAGAAAGTTTAAAATGATAACATGTATTACAAAAAAATTTGTTTCTATTATCTTTTATCATTTAATTAATTAATTTCAATATGAGATAAACCATTCATATTAAAATCCAATTGTAATAATACAGAATTTTATTCTTGTAAGTATAGCACACATATTAACTATTTAATAAATGATATGAAAATTGTTGTTCTTATATGATTAATTTCACTGTGATATAAAAAAGAGACTTAAAAGTTGTGGCCATTCATTTTATTTGAGTTTTTGATTATCCAGGGTATCATTGGTCCACATTACCTCACATAATTAGCATTTTACCATATATTTACATATAAATTATTTGAAGTTATTGTTAACATATGTTCTGTCATCTCATATTTGACAATTAATATCAAATAATAAACAAGGAACTAAAAATGCAGAAATATTTAAGATGGATTATACTATTCTTGTGCAGATGTAGCACTGTTACAAACCTGACTGCTGAAAAATTTAGACTTTGTTAGCAAACAAATTTTTTTATTTACTTAGTTTTTATTTTGTTTTTAAATTGATAAATAATTTGGTACTCATATCCTAGAAATAAGTGTAACAAATTACTTCAATTTAGAAACCCATATTAAATTATTAAGTAAAAGTGAATGTCTTTTTAAAATGAAAATTGGGCAAATTTAGGCTATGTTAAATATACAAGTGTTTGAAATATATTGTTATTTTAACAATCATAAATCTTGGTTTCATTTGCTATTAATTGGTAAATATTTAAATTTTGTGGCCAAAGTTTATACAACACAATCATTTAATTCAAACTTTAAGCTATTTAATTTAAAACTTATTTTTCTGTAATTTTTCTAATTTTATGTTTAATAGTGTTACCATAATAGTTGAAGATAAAATACAGACAGATTAGCATTAAAATTACTCAGACAGCGAGGCAAAATAAAGGAAATTTATTTATATTTTTCAATTTAGTAAATGTTGGCATATTATATAAGGTTTCAATTTACACTTTCCTTTGGGGCACAGAATGCAATTTAAATATAAGAAAACTATTTAAACACTTAGACAACAAGTACTATCGAATTTAAAAAATCGTTATAATATAATGAATTTGAGCATGTTCTCTAAGCAACGGAGCAGTTACATTTGCTTATAATGCTGCTACATAGCCAACAAATACAATAATAATTATCAACAAGCAATTATTTATTGTGACATTGTCACAATGCTGGAATGCAATTTTAAATCATATTTTAAATTTATTTAATTTAAAATATATGCTTTCCACCTCAAATTAGTACTGTAGTATCTTGTCTGTGTACATCATAATTTTCCTTTAACAATAGTCGTGCTGGTCTGTCTAACACCTTTCAGGGGAAAATTTTTGAATTGAAATAACATGACTTCCAGTTTGCATCGGAAGTTCATATATAGTTAATTGGACCCACCTGTCCCTAAGGTTTCCATATCTGGTCTGGTCTTTCGTCTATCTAACTCTATTGTAGAGATTAAGGAAAGATGGATGGACAAACAACAGTGGAAATTTGAGTCTACAGTCGACCCCCTATAAGATCATTGATTATTCCGTTTTATATGAATTCCATATTGTATGAGTCACTTAGATTTTACAAATACGTGTACCGGGCTGTGAACGGCTCACGTATTTGTAAAATTTAAGTGACTCGTACAACATAGAATTCATATAAAACGGAATAATCAATGATCTTATAGGGGGGTCGACTGTACAATGTTTTCAAATTGAAGCCCAAAAATTTAGCACCTTTTGTCAGATTTAAATGTAAGTGGTTATGATTTAACTATTAACTACATGATCATTTGAAAAGTACAGACATTTTGTTTAATTTTTATAAGTACAGTACAGACACGGACAGTGCCTTTAAAGTACGGACTATTCATACTAAATATAACGTTTGGTAAACCTATGTTTAATGTTTCTAGTTAATCAGCTGAGAATATATATTATCAGTTGTTATTGTATATATAGCTCTGGTATAATGTAAGCCAGAAAAACATAATAGCAAAAATTTATACAACTTTACAAATTGACGAAGACTTATTTCAAACAGTGGCGTGCTGTCCTTGGAAGCAGTGGAAGTGCCGCTTCCCTTGTATTTTCTAAAATATAAAGACATATTGTGCAATTATTTTCATATTTTTACTTACTTTGAATTAATTAAAATTAATATTTTATTATAACCACATTATGTATCTTATTACAAATTTTTATACTACATGTGAAAAAAACGATAAGATTACTATTGTATATTCAAATATCAGTGGGAGAATGGAACACTGTATTGTTGAATATGGGACAGCTTCCAAGCAGCCAGATTATATGCATTTACATGTGAGCTTTACAGAGCACCAACCTCACATGGTTTAGCTGGTGGAAAGCTACACACCATAATACTTCCAATGATTCTATCCAGGACTGGTTCTGGGCTGTTAGCTGCCTGTCTGCTAGATATTTGGCCACCCTCACCCCATTATGTGAATTGCGAGTAGATTTATAACTTAACCCCAACCGATAGGAGTTTACTGGTGTGTTTTTATGATAGTTCTGTAAAGTTGACAGGAGTTTAAAAAAAATCCATTAAAATATTTGGATCAATCTTTACCTATGTGCACCATCATGGCAGCGGTCATGACTGTTCATGCTCCTGATGGACTTGACTTGATACGCGTGTTTAAAAACTATCATTAATCAATAACTAGTGACATTAAACAATCAGCAGCCTGCTGGCAGCTCCCCTCCAGGAGGAGTCTGTCGGGAGCATGAACAGTCAGGACTGCCACTATGACGGTGCACATAGGTAAAGATTAACCAATATTTGATATATTTATTCTGCTTTTATTCTGCTCTCCCATTTTGTATTACTTACAGATTTCGATGTAAACTAGAGTGATATTACAATTTAGTATGTCTCATCTATAAGGGGATGCAGAAAAAACATATACAATTCTTGTACAAAGTTAAAAAATTAACTGTTACTTTGGCAGCATCATTTACAACTAAATTTAATGGATGAGATGCACGAGGTACAAAAAAGCTCTAGAATTTATTAGCCACTCATAGGGAGCTATTTCACTAAGTGGATTGCTTTAAGATTTAAAAAGTAAAGAATATTTTGTTATTTTTATGTATGTTTCTTTACAAAGCTATATCTAATTATAATTTTCTTTAAAAATATATTCATAAAATTGAAGAATATTTTGTACCAGGTATGTATATTCATTACACATTTTATTTCACCAAGTAAGTTTTTATAATTTTATTTTTAATTGTTATTCGGCTAGTGATTCGGAATGTAATTGTGATATTAAAAATACATTTAGAGAAGTCTATGGTTTTTATTGGCTTACTGAACAAACAAATATGAATGGACCCTAGACCATCACTGACGCGCAAGTAACTGATTGCCCCTGGAAGTCGGCTTCTTAAAGAAACACAGCTTCCCTATCATCAAATGTCACGGCATGCCACTGATTTCAAATAATCTAATCATTAGGCTACAATAACAATACTTCATTTAAATAACACAAGACAAAAAAAGAAATTTTTATAAAGAAAGCTTACAGTTATGATTTACCATATCATTTGTGTAAACCCTTAGCCTAAAATTATATCTAAAATTTAAACTTAAAAACTTATATTGAACAGGGACTTATATAAAACAAAAAACTGAATTTGTTAGTAAAGTTGAAAATAAAAAAAAGGAGCAGGAAGAAAGAACAGTTGGCAGCAGTTCCATTTTTTTCTTTCTTTTCTGTTTTTGAATTTTTTTGTCTTTCAAATGGACTGGGAATGGAGGAAACAAAATGCTTCTCGATGATTTTTTTCATTTTGAAACAAAAATCCAGCAATGAGTTGCTTAACTTTTCTGGCAACATTTAAAACTTTGGTGATGTCATTTGTTATGATATTTTATTTTAAAAACTTTTNTAAATTTTATAGGAGTAGGAAACACTGTGTGCTTAGAGAAAAATCCCTGGTTCCCTCCTTGATGACTCTGATATTGTATATTATGTAAGAGATTAAATGTTAATGATAAAAATAGTTTTTATTCCTTTTAAGGTGTTTTATATTATAATTTGTATTGTGATTTTATGCAGAAATATACTTTGGTTGTCAGTTGTTGGGTTCAAAATAGAGTTGATATTTCTTATTCAAAAATATATTTAATATTAAATAAACAGATTTTTGTTATGAAGTTGGCTTCTTGGTTTTAAATAAATCAATACAAGCCTATCTCTAATAATGGGTAATACTGGAGAATTGCTAATATTTTTAATTTGATTAATGGACCTTATTGAGATATGAAGATAGTCTATTCTGAATAACAGAATAAATTCATGCCTATTTTGCAGATGAAGTTGAAGCTGAAGTTATTACAGTGGCTAGTCAACTTTATCAATACTTAGATTAACTTCATAATAATTCCACTATATACACATAGTATAAACTTTTGATACTAAAATGTTAATATTAAAGTGTTTTTATTTAAATTATTAAATACATTCAGTAAGAATAATGTACAGTTTTTATTGTTAATTCATTATTTAATCTGGTTAATTTTATTAATAATGTTTTTATATTATTTCTTTCAGTCTGCATTTAACTTGAAGATTTTCAAAATGATAGGTTGGTTTGCTTATTTTCATAATTAAATTATTATAAAATAAAATTGGTAGAAGTTACTTTCCAGCCATTTATAGTATAAATGGCTGAATATAAACTTTACATACAATATATACTGTATAAAATATATATACGGTACAAATTACAGTACCCAAAAGTAACTTCTACTAAGGTGTTTACTATAAAATTTCTGTTCTATTGAAAAATTGTTATAAAGTTTTATAACATTGAAAATTTTTGAATTGAATAATAAATAAATATTAATTTCCAAAATATAAATTTTATATTTGATAGATTTTTATTTTTTAAATTAGATTTAACTGAAAATAAAGGCAATAAACAAGAAAATCAATATCTTAAATCGGAGAGCCAAATATATGATTCAGACGAACAACCTGACTTTTCACATAGGATTATTGAAAATATAATTAAAAAGATAAAAAATTACAAAAAATTAAGTTATAAAGGTAATTATGTAATGTATAAATTTTTAAAATAATTAGCATAAGTGCATTAAATTGAACGTCATTATTTTTAGTTATAGTGTACTGTAATAAATTTTATTAGAAAGATTCAATAAATATTATTAGAGATTAATAAATTTTTGTTGAATAATATCAAGTAAATTTAGAATAATTTTAAAACAGACAAACAATTTAAATCTATGTTTTTATTATTTGCAGTTTAACATTTAGCACATTTCAATAAAGTATTATGTGTAAAAAATTCATTTTATAATATTAATATTTTAATGCAAGCTATAAAAATGACAGGAGAGGAAATAAAACCTGTTAGTCATTCAGTAAAATTTTATTACAAAACTTAATGGTGAACAAAAAACAGATGAAAAATTGATTTTTACTTTTAAAACTAGGGAGACTTTATTAAACTATAAAATTTATTTTATTATATTTTTCAAGAAGAATGTGTCCCTGTAATTTGCCTTGTTGTTCTGAATCCAAAATATAAACTTTTAAAGTTATTGCTATTGCTAGCAATGCAATTCTAATTATTGGTTTTATTTGAATATCAAATAGTAGACACTATTTGAAAGCATTTGAGGATTTCTAAAAACTTAGGGAAACAATGTAAAATTAATAAATGCCATAAATTACAGTAGCTAGGTACCATATTTCCTTAACAAATGAACTTGTGAAATGTATAAAATGCACATTATACAGTAGATGTATTTTTTAATTGCTTACTTATTACTAGTATATAGAATAATATTCATTATAAAGAAAGATACTAGTTGCCATTTCAAGTATAATTTACTTTAATTAAAAATGAATCTTTCATAAATAAGTATTTAATAATGGGCATCAAATAGTTAAATGCAAATGAAATAATAGCTTCATCAAATAGTAATTACAGAGAAAATAAACAGTTTAAAATAGTAGCTGTTATTTATGAAATAGTGGCTATAATTTGAATAAAAACAATATACAGTGGTGTCTCATATAACGTACTTAATCTGTTCCAGGTGCACATCTGTTAAGTGAAAAGTCCGTTATATAAAATGCATTTTCCCATAGAAGTACATGTTAAAACATATAATTTGTTCCGTAGCCTAAAATAACCATACTGTACCATAAAAAAAAATGAAAATGGAGCAGTCACCAATTATGCCAGGTAGTCAGATGTTGTGAAGAGGAGGTGGAGGAACACTTTCTTCACACATTCATACAGATACAGACTTTTTATACATTGCAGCGGGTCTTTTTTTTTTTATTGTTTTTTAATTGGATTCAGATTCAGGAGAGGCTACCGGAGCTTGCAGGGTCAACTCCTCTTGTTCCATCCTTTGTTTTTTGG